AAGAGATATGGTGGGTGTAGCAATAAGTGCAATACACGTACACATATGCATGCATACATCTCAAGAATTCGTGATTGTAAAAAAGGGTCTCTGCATATGATGCCAGCTATATGGCATAATCCGGTACTCATATCATCCGTTCATTTCGTTGTAATATATTCACCATAATTGGGCGCTTGTTTTCACCCTCATTGTACTTCAGACAACGCATTTGATAGGATGCTTGGACAAGGTTCACCTTTTTCACTAGCTCTAACAGCAATAGCCCAATGCAAGAAGCACTAGCGCATAAGGGGTTAAAAATGGACTACCACGAATCTTTGTCTCCTTCTGTCTAACGCCTGTGGCCAGAGTTCTTCACTGACTTTTGCCCTAACAATGCACTGCCATGATATAGCACTACCTCAGTGAACCCATCTGGGCAAAATGATGATGGCGGAATTACCTCTAAAACAAGTAAATGCCCTGATATATATCCGAACACACAAACAAACGCACCCATCTATCACAAGGGACCCTGTCGAGATTAGAGTCTACTGCTAGAGTGGGGGTAGCAAATAGCCATGGCGGGGAAATGCTAGCGCCTTGAGGTCCGAGAAGCTTTCACCTCCATCGAGAGGCCTTATATCGCCTATCATATTTGGGAGGAGGGATGACTATTGCCCTGAAAATTAGTAATATGCATATATATGAATATGGTCATAAAAGGCCAACAGGGTAGTCACTATACACCTTCATTACCTATATCTGTCCTGGGTCCATAGCCAAGATGTCACAGGCCTAGTAACTCCAAAATAAGGTGCAAGCGAGTGCCATCAAGAGCGGTAAGGTGGCCGAACAGGTAATTTACCCAGGAGGGGTGTCACAAACTCGATTGGTATGCATGGAGCAACAACGCCAAGACTGTCCATGTAGACAAGACGACAGCGTCACACAATTATTAATCGCACAGGAGCAAACAGAAAAACAATAGGCAAAATGCAACAATGCACAAAATGACAGCATTAAATATTCCTACTCTGTTTATTTCCTTTAAGAAGCACAGCGAGACACCACCAGCCAAGGCGAGAACTAACTCTGATGGGTAAGAGGTAAACAACATTCACCACATTTCCTCTCCGTATTGCAGACGAGCCTACTGAGTGACTGTTTCACCGAAGCAGCACTTTCAAATGCACTAAAGAAGTACTGAAGGCAAAGTCTAATGTTGGTGAATTCTAGCTTTAAAGGGAAAAAAGAGATAGACGCACATTTGTGGTTTCACCTCAACATTTTTAGCCAAACTTCTGCTCTACGGTGATGAAGGACTGAAAGGAAGTCTGTGCTGCAGAAGAACTGCAATCAGTATGCACAGAAGACCACCGTCAGCAAAGGATCATTTCTAGTAAGTAATTTCACAGAAAGACATCAAAAAAGACTGCTTACTTTCGTGCTTCTGCTCAAATTTCATGGACGAAATTCCTCACTACAATGTTGGTCAATCAAAAGATAGATTGCTACTCAATGAAAGTGCTCATCGCATGCACTATGGAATACCATCAGCCAAGTACTAATGAAAATGCCTTTTAGCTAAAGGAGGTTTAAGAGAAGGCAGAGGGCTTAAGCGGTCTCATCTCAACATACAAAGCCAAAACTTTTCATTATAATGCAGATGAGACTAAGGAAAGTCAGTTTAACAGGGGCACTTCTCCCTTGTTCTTTAGTTATTTCCTTGGAAAAAGTGGCTGTTGGTGCCATTAGGGCATGGCTGTACTAGGCACTTCAGTGTGTGTGCGAATGCCTTGGTTGCATTCAACACAAAAATCATTGTCCTAGTCCATGCAATTCACGTCAATTTCTAAGTACGTGTTGTAGCATTGGCACCACTATTGGACACCGCAGGGATTCATTATTCTTCTGTCATCGTCTCAGCATTGAAGGTAGGAAGTCAGACGATAGGAGCATGGCAAAGCTAAATGCTCACTTTGTTCTGCAGTGCAAGCCTATGGTTTTGAAATAGATGGAGGATGGAAGCAAGTATGCGATTAGAGAGTGAGCAACTGGAAGTAGATTAGCTAAAGAAGGAAAGGATGCATGACATTTGCCCTGCAGGAGGCAGACATCATTTAAGAAGTAATGGCACTCCCACTTATTGCTACCAACTATCAAGCAAATTTGGTCAACAGAATGCTTCTATGCGTAATCAGGCTTTAAGTAGAATAGAGTGAAAGAGAACGGCTTAAAATAAAAAGGCGAATCACTATGCAAGCAATAACTGGAGCGCTCCAACTTCCCCACAATTCGGTATGTTCCTTTTGTAGCTAATCTCAATTTTGCACTTCCACCACGGTCCCAAACAGGCCTATCCTCTGCACAATGTTGTCAGATGCAGCTGTGGCGGCGAAAGTCTAACTACTGCGTGCGTATGCGCTTTAGTTTACCCAATCCGAGCTTTCCAATCAAGCAGCGGTTACTACACTTCCTACTGCTAAATTATAAGCAGGTAAAGTAGAATGGCTGAAAACACTAAGGTAAACCAATCTGCCAAGTTGTTTGGCCTCTGCCAATTATTAGATCGCACTCAATGAACATGAAGAGGAATAAAGTTGACAACGGGCACTTAATTATGCTGACTATATTATGGTAAAATAAATGGACGAAATGAGCATACATTTAGTATCATATGGTGACTCGTACCTTTTACAATCACAGTCTTGAGATGTGATTATATTCATGTATGCATATTAATTTTAATTCTAAGGAAAGAGTAAAGCATGGGGAGAAGGATCTGGTGTTTAATTAAAATTGAGATTAATGCCCACTTTTTGATCAAATATAATGATCCTTTGTTTAGCGTAGGAAAGTAACTGGAACGACATTATTCGGTAGACATTTATATCAACTTACCTCTACCATTCACAAACTACTTGTCAGTCTATCAGTAGCAGCCACGGGACACAAAGCTGTGTGTAAAATTCACCCAAATCTGCAGCGACTTAAGG